CCTGTGACAAAGCGCCGCATGCGGATGGCCATCGTTTTGTATTGCTTTATTGCTCAAACAAGGGGCTCTTCTCTCCTCTCTGGAAGCCAGAGCAGCGTCTTCACTGCAGGACCAGGGCAGAAGCACCGGGTGCAGTGGTGGTCAGAGCCAGCAGCGAGCCTCGGAAGCCCCCGGGGAAGCCGCCGGAGGTCAGTGCTCAGCCTGGGAGAGGCTCCAGGGGCGAAGAGCTTTTTGGATCTTTGTCCTCAGCCTGGGGGGGTGGAGGGTGGCGTGGACCCAACCGGCGGCTCCCTGATCTACTCTGTAGGCTGTTCACGTGGCAATGAACTGCTGGGTTTCCACCGTGCTCCTAACAGGGAAGCAATGCCCACCAGCCCCCTGTAGGGGGTTGTGAAACGACTTGAAGGACTGAAAAGGTCATGGGAAATGCACCGTTCTTCTAGGCAGTTTCTGATTCTGTGAAGTCAGCCTCGCAGGCAGCAATTTGCCTTCACATTATGGACCCCAAGTAGCCAGCGAAGGACGTGAGCTATCTGTGGGCCCCGGGGGCCCCTCGGTAGCCAAGGTCTCTTCTCCTGCAGAGGGCAGGCGAGAGGGATGGACGTGGCCTCATTCACCTGACACACGGGTCCCCTGACCGTTCCGGCTCCGGCTTCAGACCTGCACGCCCAGGACACCCGTCCTGCTCCCGGGCCCGAGGCAGCGGGCGCTCAAGCTTCCTCCCTTTCCTGTCCCAACCCCCTCTTCCTGCAGCCTCTGGCTGCCCTGGACAGAGGTGGCTGTGTATTTTTCTTCATATTCATTCTTAAGGCTAAGGTGGCGAGATAAGGTGCTCGGTGGAGAGCAAGTTCTAGATTCCAGGGCTGCCATTTCCGCACTCTCACATAAAGCAAGGTCGAAAGAAGTGGAAAGGGGGCAGAGAAGCAAAAAAAAAAAAAAAAAAAAAAGCATTTGGGCCCAAGAAGAAGTTACATACTACAAGTTTAGATCTCAAATGTCTAAACCCCTGAAAATAGGGGGTGGGATCAGGCCGTGGGAGCCACGGTCAGCCTCCGGCCGGGCCCACGTCGCCTCAAGCCGGGTTGGAGGGCCGCACTGGCCACCCTCGGCGAGAGCGGGCGGGTCCGTCCTCACCCAAGACCAAGAACTCCGAATGCCATCGCCCCTCCTCACTGCCACCCCTCGAAACGAAAGCTAGAAACACACACACGCCAGAGGATCTATAAACCAGTAGGAGAAAAAAATTAGACAAAGGTTAACCGTTAAAAAGCCGCAGCTGGGGGAACACAGGCTCCACTGTTCGCCGGAAAGTGCCGTGGAGGACGGCCGTTTGCAGGCAGCCCGCGCTCGGGGCTTGGCATGCCCGGGGGCGCGGCCACGTCCTGCCTGAGGTCGAGGGCCTGGTCGGCGCCACGCACGTCGCACTCAGGTCACTGCCCTCTGCTGCCCACGCTGCTCCCAGACGCCCCCGTCGGGTCCCGGCTCCGGCCTAGTCCATTTCCATGGACATGAGGCGGCGGCGCTCACGCCGGGTCTCCTGGACCTCCTTCTTACAGCACCAGTGGGAGCTGCAATACCCGATGAGGCAGGACAGGAGCCCGATGACGGTGGACAGGCCCACGCCGATCAGCAGGGGGTACTTGAAAGCGTTCAGCACTGGGAGGTGGAGGTCAAAGGAAGCTGGTTAGTGATAAGAGAAGACCCCCGTCCCGGCCAACACCAGGGAGCAACAGCTCCCGAGGGATTAGTCCCTTTGGTCTAGTACGGAGCTCCTAGACTTAACACGGTATTGTCTGTTGCACCTAGAACCGTCTTGTAAGTAGCAGCCAGCACCTAGCACCATTGGTAAGTAGCACCTAGCACCATCTTGTTTGTAGCACCTAGCACTGTCTTCTTGTAAGTAGCACCTAGCGCCGTCTTATAAGTTGCAACCAGCACCTAGCACCATCTGGTAAGTAGAACCTAGTACCTAGCACCATCTTATATGTAGCCCCTAGTACCTAGCACCATCTTGTAAGTAGCACCTAGTACCTACCACCATCTTATAAGTAGCACCAGCACATAGCACCATCTGGTAAGTAGCATCTAGCACCATGTTGTAAGCACCACCTAGCACCTATCATCATCTTGTAAGTAGCACCTAGCACCGTCTTATAAGTAGCACCCACCAACTAGCACCATCTGGTAAGTAGCACCTTGCACCTAGCACTGTCTTATACAGCACCTAGCACCATCTTGTTAGTAGCACCTAGCACTGCCTTGTAAGTATCACTCAGCATCTAGCACCATCTTTAAGCATCACTCAGTATATAGCACCATCTGGTAAGTAGCACCTAGCATCTAGCACCATCTTGTTAGTAGCACCTAACACCATCTTGTAAGTAGCACCTAGCACCATCTGGTAAGTAGCACCTAGTACCTAGTACCATCTGGTAAGCAGCACCTAGCACTGTCTTGTAAGTAGCACCTGGTACCTGGCACCGTCTTGTATATAACACCTAGCACTTAGCACAGTGCTTAAAACATAGCAGCTCTGCAGTATCTGTCCAAAAATGAGCAAATGTTTCTGCACCCAGCTCTGTGGTGGTGGGGGGGAACAGAAAAAAAGCTCTCATTCCATGTCCTTGAATGTCAACTTGCTTTTTAGAGTTTTGGCAGGAGATTGATTTTTAAAAGTCATTGTAAGGGCACTACACATTCAGTGGCAGATGCAGCCTTAAAAAAAAAAAAAAAACCAAAACACTGTGCATAAATCAATTCTATGCATCAAATAGCTGAAGTGTGCTGGGGAGCTATTTTAAGTAACGCTATAGTAAATTATCTAGCAAAGTGAATAATCACTCCCTTAACTTGTTTGTTAAATCTGGGTGTTCATATGGAATCATTCACACACGGAATCTCTAAGATGCAAATGTGGTGTTAGTGACAGAGTTTCAGGAATGCACAAACGTGTCCCCAGCCCACAAGCCCAAAGGCCAAGATCCTTCCCCACCCTGGGTGGACACTGGCCTTGTGGCAGGTGCTGGACAAGCCCCAGGCTTCAATGTCCTAACTCTCACAGGAGAGTACTGTCCCGTCTTACCAGAGAGGAAACAGAGCATCAGACAAGCTAAGTCAACTCAGGAGCTGGGGTGCTGATTCCAGTCTCCCCCAAACTGACATAGCACTAGGGAAACACCCTCAGAGGTGCTGACTAATCCTCGGAGGCCCCTGGATGTTTCCTCTCTCCATGTTGTTTTTCGATGTTTACTCTGAAGCTTTTAGTGGAGAAGACACGTTTCTTCTGAACCCAGGGAGAACAGCCCTGGTCCTGGGGTGCTCAGGGAGGGTGGAGGGGCCCTCCGACCGCTGAGTGAGGCTGACCCTGGCGGCTGGCATGGGCTAGCGAGGCCGGAGCTCCCTCTCTATCAGGGTTCCGTGACGACCCCCCACCATGCTAGGCACACAGGAGACCCTGCCTGTTCTAAGAAGCAGAGCTCCCAGGAGGGCTAGAGCAGCAGGGCCCCCCACGGCCTGGCGGGGACCCGGGCCCGAGCCAGGGTCCTCTGCGCCTCGGCCTGGCACGCGCACCTGGGCACACAGCAGGCTGGCCCGGAATCTACAGAGGAAACGCCTGCCACCCTGCCGGAGTCCGAGAGCCCTTCCGGAGGGCGCCTCGGCACGCGGCCCCAGAGCTGGGTGCTCGGCGGGGCTGCCCCTGCCCTTTGCGGGCCCAGGCGTGCCAGGGCGCAGAGAAAGCAGGCCTGCCGCGGCGCCTTCCGAACAAGGGCACTGGACAGCCCCGCCCCGAGGGAGACGGGCCCCGGGCCCCGGGAGAAACGCTTACCGTCCATCTTCACGGTGATAAAGATGGGCTTGGAGTGGACCTCGGCCTCTTTCTGCCAGGAGCCTGTTGGGGACTTGACCCACGGAGTCACGGAACAGTAGTAGTTGCCGAAGTCCTGGTCCTCGGAGCTGTGCACACGCAGCAGGAACTCCAGCGTGCTCACGCGCTCCAGGCTGAGGTCGCTCTTCCAGTCCCTCCGGGCAGTGCTCACGATGCCCCTCTGGTCCAGGGACGACAGGAGCACAGGCGCCTTGTCCAGGCCGAAGGAGTGCACCGCAAACCAGGACACGTCAAAGGCCATGTCGTCTGCGGGTGGGGAGCGACCAGAGCCGTCAGCCGCGGAACCGCCCTGACCACAGCCCTGGGTCTCAGGCGCCCCACGACCCCCCCACACGAGCAGCACGAACACACCTGTGCAAGGTCACACAGCCGGGGGGGGGGGCAGAGCGTGTGGCGTAACCCCAGGAGGCCAGGCCAGAGGAGGCTCCGGGGCTGGAGGCGTGACCATGCCGCCCCCGGCCACAGCACACAGGCAGCGGAGGCGACTAACAGGTGTCCTGCAGGACACGGGGCCTGACACGGGCGCGTACTGGGGGACACGGCACCTCTGTCTCCCACAGAAAGCGGGTCCTCGGACAGCTCAACAGAGGACCCGGGAAGCCACGCAGCGCAATGCACACACCGGAAGCCGTCGCCAGCGCGGAGCGGGCTGTTAGGCTGAGGTAGTTCTGCCTCCTGCAGAGAGGCTTCGGCCCAGGACGAGACGGGCAAAATTGCGAAGCTGAGCAGACCGGACGCGGTCTAACAGTCCCGAAGAGTGAGGCCGCCTCGGAGGGGCTCTGACAAATCCAGGTGCAGTAAAATAAGGACCAAGAGGAGGGAGGTGTGGGGGGCGAGTGGGGTCCTCAGAGAGTGGGCGCAGGGCGCGTGTCACAGACGCTGCCCACCGACACCAGCTGAGTGGGGCCTGAGACCCCTCAGCAGGCCAGGGGATGTGGGGGCGTCGGCAGCCCTGCATCTGCAGTGGCCTGGGGGGTGACTCGGTAAAACTGAACCCCAGAAAGCACAGGATACGGGGAGAGCACCCAGATGCTTTCCTATCCAGGGAGGAATCGCACAAAGCTAAAGAAAGGATCCCACAAAATGACCCCAGTGGCGACTCCTTGCAACTCAGTCCAAGACTGCCAGTGGCCGCAGGCAAATCGCCCCGTGCTCGTGATGACAGGACTCCACTCCTCTCCTCCCCGTCCACCCACGGAGGCACGCGGGCATAAAACGTGCTTGTTCCCAGCACGGAGCTCAACTCTCGCCTCGGGGGCCAGCTCCGGGGGTGGAGGGAGAGCCCTGGCGTCCCCGCAGTCACGGACGACCCAGTCACCGTGTCCCGTACTCGTGCCCAGACACCCCCCTAAGCTGTACAGGGCGGTGGGCAGGCTGCCCGGGCCAGGGCCAGACTGCCCTTGCTAATCACCTGACTCAAGTTCACGGCGATGTCGTTACCTCGTTGTTAAATGGCACGACAAGAGCGCCCATGTGGAATTAGTAATCTTACAAACTGCCGAGAACAGCACCTGGAATGCAGAATGTGCTCGGTAAAAGCCGGCTGCCGTGAACGTCCTTATCTTCCTGGCACAACTCAGTGACTACAGGTACAGACGAGCCGCGCACGACCAGCTCAAGGGGAAACAGAACCCCCACGCAGAGATCCGAGCGCAACTCTGACTGTCCAAAAATGTAGCCACGGTCATCTCGTGGATTGGCTTTGGGGCCCCTCCTGGATTCCGAAACCCCTGGCCCTCGGCTCCTCTATCTATAGAGTCGGCAGCCGAATCAGTTAGCTGAATCTGAGAACACAGAGGCTGTGGACAGAGAAACACCTGCTCAGAAGTGGACGGCACCGTTTACGCCCCGGTCACTCAGGGGCCACCTGTAGACGGGGCGTCACTGCCCGCGGCAGACGCGCCAGTGCCCACCCAGAGCAGCCTCGGTGCTGAGCCGCCCTGCAGGTGTCACTACGGAGCTCCCCAGCCTGCGGCTTCCCCAGGGGCTGCAGCGGCCAGCAGCCAGCTCCTGGAGGTGCATCTGGACATTAAGAGCAGCTGGTGACTGACAGATGGAGTCCATCAGGGCCCAGTCCCTCCCTTCGGGCAGCCCCGCTCTGGGGCCCCAGCCGAGTACAGAGCTCCCCGCGGGCGGCTACGACCTGCGTCCAGTCACACCTCTGCCCGGCTGCTTCCCTGCTCCATCTGGAGCCCCCCACCCCCCACCCCCGCGCAGTTTTCCGGAGAGCACAGCCTCAGTCAGGAGCTTGAGATCAGTCAGGCTCGTCTCAGGCCCGGCCGGGCCAGCACCGACCTCCGCCGCCCTCCCTGCCCCAGGCCAGCCCCTCCTCCACCTCGGCAGCTCGCCCCTCTCCAAAACAGAGGCCCGCACCGCCCCCCGGCATGCGAGGGACCCCAAATGATGACTTGTGTTTAATCGCTCAGCATCTTCTCCCCACACCGCCCAGGAGAGCAAAGTTCTGGAAAATGGTGCTCTGCACGCTTGCAGCTGCCCGGAGCGCCGGTTCCCCTGAGGGAGGGACGCCTAGGTGAAGGGTAAGACCGGTGAGCTGTGGACTCAGCGACAGAGCACCTCCACCTTTACCTCTGACACATCCTAATACGCTTTAGGGGTGAGACGGGGGCCAGGTGAGCCCACACTTTCGCAGGTCTCCCCGGCGTCTCCTGCTTCCACCTTCACTTCGCTCCTGAAGCCTGCCCTGGGCCCCCAGTTCCTGCACCCCAGGTACAGACATGGCAGTTCACCTGAGCGCCCCCCCAAACAGAACCAACCACGCCACCAGTTCGGTTCAGCGTTTTCCACTGCTTCCGTCAGCCAGCAGGCCCTTCTTCCTTTCCTACCTAAGCTCGAGCATGTTCAGGTTCTGGAGACCAATTCCCGGCCCGAGCAGCTAGTTCACAGGTGTCCACGCCAGCCCAGGCCAGCTCTGGCCACCAGCTTCCCCGCCACTCAGCCGGGCCCCTTTGTTTGCTACCTGCACAGTGGCCACAGAGCCCGCAGGACGAGACACTGTCCCACCCCATCCTTAGAAAATGCCGGCTGGACTTCAGCTCTGCCCCGCTGAAGCTTCCCCGCGGGCCTGCAGGAGCCAGCCCCCAGCGAGCCGTCCAGACCCTGGCTCTCCTCCGCTGGATGTGGGCCCCGGCTCGGGGCCTCACGCTGGCTCCGTGACCACTGCCTTGGCTTGTCATCTGCCCTTTAATAGTGACCCCCAGTTTGCTCCCAGGTCCCCAAGCCCAGTGGCTTCTGCACAGAATTCTGGGAAGTCCATACAACTCAGCTTTTTTGGAAAGGTACAAATCTTGGAGAGCCTGGCTCTGTCTGTGACGGGGTGCAGGGTGGGGCACAGACACCAGGTCGAGCACAGAGAGGACGCCCCAGACAGCGCGCCCGGCTCCTGTGGGCCCTCAGGGGAGGTGGAGGTGGGCACAGCGCTGCTCGGCAGCGGAGACCCCTGGGTGCCCCCACTGTTCTCCCAAACCCTGAGGGCCTCAGAGTGGCGCAGGCAGAACCGGTCACCGCAGGGTCCAGCCGAGGTTGTGCAAGGCTCCGCCCACGACTTGCTGGGGCCACGAAAGATGGACAGAGGCGTCCTGGGAATGTGAGTGCTCTAGTGCCCTGGCCACTGGCTTCTTGTCTACTCTGCTGCATACTTCAGGGCTAGCTGCTCTCTGGCACTATGCTGCATGGTGTTTCCTCTCTGCTCCTTAATGAGGCTAAGGGCGGACTCTGAGGGTGGGCTGGAGCATCTGTTCACTCCTCCAGTTCCAGCATCTAAGCAGCACCTGCACGTAGAAGCTCAATGCAAAGCTGATGAACCCGTGAGTGAAAGACAGGAGCTCCGCCAGCTTGAAGCAATCCCAGCGGGCTCCGGGTCATCCCAGCGTCCGTCCCACAAGGACCCCAGCGGCTCCCAATGCATCCGTCCCACAAGGGTTTATTAGACACCTGATGAATGCAGTCACTACACCGGCGGGTTGCGGACCGGCGGACACGCGGACCCCTGACCTCCACGCGTGTCACAGTGGGGGGAGAAACACCCCCAGGAAGCAAGGTGGGGAGGAGGAAGGAGGGAGAGAGGTACCTGGATCCAGCGCGGCTCCTTCCACAGAGATGATGCAGAACAGCTTGATCAGCTCCCCCCTCACGACGGACGGCGTGTCTGAGTGCACGGACGCGTTGAATACAGGGCCTGCAAGACCGGGGGCTTCGTGAGGCCCTGCGCTTTGGCTGAGATCCTACTCTTAGTCCCTTTCTTGTGTGTGTGTGCATTTTTAAGAGTGATTTATACATACAAGAACTAGGGTGCAGACTACAGGTTGGGGTGGGAGTGAGAGGATTCCCCAGAGACAGAGTGGGGAGCAGAACAGGTGGGTCTACTGAAATACACTGCTGAGAGGAGCAGCAGGGAGCCAGGAGAGGTCTGCTGCGCCCTGTGGGTCACTCCTTGGCCGGGGATCGAACTCGTGCTGCAGTGGTGGCTGTGCTGATATTTAATTGCTAGGCCACCAGGGAGGCCCTAGTGGTCCTTCCAATGAGCATCTAATGGTGGCTCTCTTTGCTCGGAACTGAACTAAACACTAACCAAAATGGGATTCTAAGTTGGTTTTCTTCTATCCGAGACACACGCATTGGCACAGCTGAGGTAACAACCCAAAGAGAACCTTTCTAGAGAAGATTAACTTTGCTCCTGTTTTTTCTTGACCACGTCTTCTCTGATGGCAACTAACAGTCTCACATGGAGGCCACCCCAGCTCTCTCCCTGGTACAGTCTGGCTTGTCCTGGTCCCCTGGTTCACTACCGGCCTCGGGCCGTGAGGGGGGATGGATCAGGACGGAAGAGGCCATCCTGCCCGGGTGCAGCGAGAGACCCCTTTGCGCTGGGTGCTGAGCACAGGGCCTGCTTGATAGCAGGTGGGAAGCCACCTGCCCCATTCCTGCAGCCGGCCCGGGAACTGCCTGCCTTTTATAAAACCCCTTTTGGGCTCACGTTTCAGTGAAAGCATCACAGCTTTATGTCAACCTAATCCTAAGAGCCTGATATTTGTCTTATCCCAATTCTGAATATCTAGGAATAGGCAAAGCCGAAGAAGCTTCCAGATTATTCACCCTATGGGATTTTATTCAGTTCTCCTGGGAAACAAAGACAGGTGGCCTTGAACACTGATTCTGAAACTCGTCAGGCTCTAAGAGTACAGGGGGTGCTACCTTTTAAACTGGGGTACCAGAAAGGAAAAGGAACTAGCCTAACACCTAGAAGAAACACTCACAGAAAGAGTTCACTAGAAGGTCACACAAGCCGAAGGGACCGAGACTCTAAAAGACTGTATTTTCATTTCAACAGAGCAGCAGGTGAACTCAGGAGACAGCTTCCAGCCACCAAGTACCCCCTCACCTGCGTTCTTCAGGGAGGAAGGTGAGGGTGTTATGAGCATGGGGAGCCGGGGGCGGGGGGTGCAGCCCTGGGTCCTCCGAGAGGTCTGATTAGCCGACCACAGCAGCCGGGGGCTGGACTCCAGGCTACCATGAACCTCACAGGAGAAGAGCCCCAGGGAACGGGAAACAGAGGCAGGCCGCGTGAGCTGGCCGCCTGATCTACTTCGGGGCGTGAGGTCCTTCCGGCAACTCAACGCCCAGCCGTGACTCCTGGGGGCCTCAGCGTTGGACTCACTGGGTGCAGAGCGACGACGTGGCAAAGCCAGAGGCTCTGAGTCGGCTTAGTAGGAGCCGAGGGGACTTTGCCCCGTCTACCTGTGAGTACAGGTTAGTAGACCGGGGTGAGTTTTCTTCTCTGACTAGAAATTTCTTGGTTCTCTGATACAGTTAATTAAAGGGTTCAGATTCCCTCCAAGAGAGCTCAGAATGATAAAACAAAGAAATCCTCACTATCGGGTTGAGTTCCTATTAATTTGAAACAGCAAAGACAGACCTGCTTCCTTTGGACAGATTGTGCTTCCCTCCCCCCCCCCCCCCCATATTCCCCAAGAAAACTCCAAATGCCTTCTAGGTCATAAGTTACAGTTCTCATTTCCCCGGCGGCTCACGACTGTGGGAACAACGGGGTATTTGTGCTGCTGTTTACCATGCAGATGAGGGCCGGGGAAAGACCTTCGTTGTGAGCTAGTCACAGCAGTGGGTTTCCTGGTAATGAAATCAACAACTCACTGTTAATGTGGGTCATTATCCCAGGCTTAGAAATATTTTTATTATGGTCAATTTCTGTAGTAATGCTGTTTCTGTGAGGAGATTTGTCTGGCTAACTTCACCGATGACAGGGGAAGGCATGGAGGGGGGGTGAGTGAGCCACCAGACAGCACGCAGACCCCTATTCCTCTTCTACGGGAACTGGAGATTTGACATACAATTTAGTCCACTTAGCTTTTAAAGACAAACATTGATGCAAGACAACAGACCCTGAACTCCAACCCCTGAAAAAGCTGTTCTCCGCAGTATTTTTTTGAAAGTCAAAATGGCACTCACTCTGCAGCCCCACCAAAGGAGTGGGTGCTACCCAGACCTACTTCTCATTAAGGCCGATGTTTTCCTGGGATTTGTGATAACGTAGAAAATGCTGATCTTAAAATATTCAAAGGAGGAGGGGGCGGGGAACATCATCAAATTGCACATACAGTCTGATCTCAAGGTCATGAAGAAAACACTTGAGGGAGAAACTGGAGAGAGAGAAGCAACACGAGCGAGCTGTCTGGCTGGTAGGTTACGGGGGTTGGCTTTTCCTTCTTTCTGCTCAACTGTATTTTCAAAATTTCTCTCTCTCTCTCTTTTGTTTTAAAGATTTATTTATTTATGCAGGGGTACAGGCCAGAGGTGCAGGGGTGGTGAGAGGCTTCACCAGAGACAGAGTGAGGTGCAGAACAGGCCGACCAACAAAGGACACTGCTGAGGGGAGCAGCGGGCGGGTCAGGAGAGGTCTGCTGTGTCCTGTGGGTCACCTCCGGGGCTGGGGATCGAACTCACACTGAAGCAGCTGCAGCCAGCTTGCAGAGCTGCGTCCTAACCCGTTGCGCCACCAGGGAGGGGCCCAACTTTTCTCTCTTAAGGACAAAACTTTATTTTATTCTTGTAAAAAGCCAAAACCTTTCACGCCATCACATTTAAACATTGTCCCCCCTGACACTGAGTCAGAAAAGGTCACAGCTCAGGGAAACATCATCCTTATACCAACAGGACGGTGCCCTGAAACTGGGGGCCAGGAAGGTGGACACTGAGCACAGGCCTTGCCGTGCTCAGCGGACTGGTAAGAGTGAAGACTCTTCGGTACCAAGTCTCTATCTGCTGGGCGCTATTCAGGGTTAGGACGCTGCGCTGGGTGCCGAATTGTCAGCAACATCTCTTAATTAAACGGTGAACCAGCCACCACAACTCCATGATCAAATTACATCAAACCTTAAGCATCCATTCAACCTGGAAGCCACAGTGATGTTTTTCTGTTTTCCTGAGATTTAAAGCGTTGAGAGATTTGATGCCCATTCCTCACACAGGAATACATACAAAAGATTTTGTCTCCTCTCTTCCTCCTAACAGTTTTAAAGAAACATCAAGTCACAAATGTAAAGCAAGACATGAAGAAATAAAGCCACGAAGGAGAAATCAACTCTTGCAGGCAGCAAGACAGGCATACAAATGCAGGACAAAGCAGCCCATCATTTTCTGATCTCAGCAGGCACAGAAAAAACACAGGTAACACCCAACGCCTCCTTGAAGTAAAAATAGTCAACAAACTAGGAATGAAAGGAGATTGCCCCAACGCCCTAAGAGCCATCTGAGAAACCCATAGCTGCCATGACACTGAGTGGTAACAGGTATAAGACTTTCCCCTAAGATCAGGAACAAGACAAAGTTATCCCCTTGTACCGTGACTTCCCGGCTCTGTGCTGGAGGTTGTATGTGGTCAGGGTGACGAGATAAGAAAAAGAAAGAAGGTATTTATCCAGCATGGAGAAAATAAAAGCTATCTCAGCAAGGTGACAGGACACGAGATCAATATAGAAATGAGCTGTGTTTGTTTACACTTGCCATGAACAAATTGGAAAGGCCATGAAGAAAGCAGTTCTTTTTATAGTACCACAAAGAATAAAATATAAAACTAAATTTAATGGGGCATAGTCACAATTTATACGTTAACAACTACAAAACACCACTGCTGGAAATTAAAGACCTAAAGAAATGGAAATATTCCTTATAGTCACAGCTTGGAAGACAACTGCTGGCAATACTCCCAAATGGAATGAAAAATCCGACATGTTTCCGATCAAAGACTCCACTGTCTTCTTCTGCAGAAAGTAATGGGCTGATCTTAAAATCCGTATGGAGTAGCATGGGACCCGGAGTGGCCAAAATGATCTTGAAAAGGAACAAAGGCATAAGAAACAAACTCCTTGATTTCAAAACCTACTGCAGGGTTTCGTAACCACACAAGATGGTACTGGTATACAGACAGAAATACAGGCGAGTGGGGCCGACTGGGAGCTCACACGTCAACCCTGGTAATCATGGGAAGTGGCTTCATCAATGTGCAAGACCAGACAGTGCGGAGAAGTGCTTTTTACCACGTGGTACTAAGGTGACACCAGCGGATCCACATGCTAAAGGACAGCACCAAACTATTTCCTTACGCCATCCACAGAAATTAACTCCAAATGGAGCATACGATGAACCCTAAGAGTTAAAACTAGAAGGCTCTCCGAAGAAAGACGTTAAGAGTATCTCGCCACAAGCTTGGCTTAGGCAATGGAGTTTCAGAGATATAACGCCAAGACGGTAAGTAAAACATGATAAAATGGATGATCAAAATGCAGAACTTGGGTGTTTCAAGATTCTCACCATTAAGATATAGAAAAAACAAAACAACTCCCCAGAGTGGGAGAAGCTATTTTCAGATCCCATCTCTGATAATGGACTTGTATACAGACATAGTTATGAGCAACAATAAAACAATAAAAAGACAAATCTGAACATGGGCAAGTGATCTGAAAGACATTTCCCCAAAGAAGATGTACACATTACCGACAACCACATGCAAAGATCCTCAAAATAATTACCATTAGGGAAATCAGATTTAAAAAAGCACAATAAAAAAAGTCCACCAGTGTGGGTTCCTGTGAGCTGGCTACTAGCGGGCCAGTATGTGCTGTCCACGAATCCCAGCAGGACATGCCTTGGCCACCTGCGGAGCTCAGCACGTATCCCAGGCAGGCCCGGGACGCCTCGGCTGTGTCGGCCTGATTACCTGCCAATCTCCATGGCGGTCTTGGGTTCACTCTGCCTGTGATAACATCATACTTTGCTGACACAAATGTGTCTGACACGCGGTCACGATGTCCCCTCCCTGTCCCTTGTAACACTTTGTCACTTTGTCCTCCATTCCTATCCCACCCTCCAGACCCCATTCCTCATACCACTGTTGCGTGATCCGCTTTACTAGCCTGCGTGTTTTCAACAAATGCACAAGAACGTCTGCTCCAGTGGCAGAGTCTGGCCTTGCACACTAGTTCCATGACTGGTCTGTCCCTCAGTGCATTGGCACTGCTTCACGTGGCAACCAAGTTCCTGTGTAACACACTGGGTTGGCTAGAATAAAGGATGTAGGGAACACCAGGGCCCGTGCACTTGTGGAGAAATTAGGCTCCCAACCCACGGCTAGTGCAGCGGCTCTGGAAAGCAGTCTGGCTGTTCCTTAAAGAGTTCTTCATCAGAGTTACCACACAGACCCTGTATTGCTCCCATGAGAAATAAAAGTTACAGCTGCACACAAACAATCTTTTAAATATTAAAAACATATATTTATTTATGTACATAAGAACTGGGGTACAGGCCAGAGCTGTGGGGGGCAAGAGGACCTACCAGAGACAGAGTGGGGAGCAGAACAGGCAATCTACTGAAGCACACTGCTGAGGGGAGCAGCAGGGAGACAGAAGAGGTCTGCTGCACCCTGTGGGTCACCTCCCTGGCGGGGGATTGAGCTCGTGCTACAGGGGCTGCAGATAGCTCCAGAGTGCTGCGCTCTAACCCGCTGCGCCACCAGGGGGTCCTCGTAGGCAGAGGGTGGACCCAGCCTGAGTGTCCTTCAGTGGATGAACAGAGTGTGGAATGAGAAATTATTCAGGCATAAACAAGGCATGAGGTCCCGCGGGCGCCGGCGCAGGGACCGCAGGATAGGTGTGCGCACAGGTGTGTAGTCAGCGACGCCAACGAGGGTGTGCAGGTACACTCGCTGACACGAGCACGGGGGAGATCGCCGAGCGCATTTCTCCGAGCACGGACCTAAGGTGACGGTGACCCCACGCACACCTGCCCCGGCACTGACGGCCTGAAAGCCCTGTGGCAGTAACAGCCGAGCGCAAGGCCACTCCTTGCACCACCCCCTTCCCGTGAAGTTCATGGAAGAGGCGAGTCTGGAGGGAGAGCAGGGCCCCAGCAGCTGCCAGGGCTGGGGGAGGGGGCGCTCTTCATGGGTCTGGAGTTTCTTTCCTGAGTAATTCAAAAGTCTGGAATTAGGTCATGGGGATGGCTGTGCAATTGTGGATCGGTTAAAAACTCGCCGAATCTTACACTTCAAATGGGTAATTTTTTTTATTATAATATTTTCCCATCATTTTGTACCTTTTCCTATCTCAGTTGTAATCCCGTGGGCGTCCCATCACCAACTCACCCGTGTGCCATCACCATAGTCCCATGCACCATTTACCCCCATGGGTAAATTTTGTGGTGAGGTAATGGTATCTCAAAAAAGCTATTATTAAAAAATAAGCAGATAGGAGCCCTCCCTGGTGGCACAGCACTATGGAGCTATCCCCAGCCACTTCAGCACGAGTTCAATCCCCCGCCAGGGAGGTGACCCACATGGCACAGCAGACCTCTCCTGTCCCACCCTCTGCTCCTCTCAGCAGTGTACTTCGTTGATCTGCCTGTTCTGCTCCCCGCTGTCTCTGGTAACTCCTGTCAACCCCCACACCTCTGGCCTGTACCAAATCTTAAAAAAAAAAAAAAAAAAAACAGCCAAGAGATAGACAAGAAAAGAAGTCTGTGCTTCTTGGCTCTTTCTAAATCTAAGGGTTTAAGTCTATATTAATTCTTCATTCTGCTAAATGCTGAGCATAAACATGCCAGAAAATTATTTCATTATACTTTGTAAATGAAATAATATTTGTAAACAAAGTAATATTAATAGAAACATTTAAGGATCTAGCTTACTTTTAAGATACACAGTAATTATTCGATTCAACAACTATCGCATTGCATTCACTAGACTGATTCAATTCAGTCTGAAGTTTTTTATAGGTCCATATGCATTTACACATTCAGAAATTTCTGATGAGCCCAGGAGAGACCGAGTGAAAAGCTTCACTTCACACTGCTATTCTACATAAAGTTGAGGATCAAAAGCTTTTCAGTCATGTGTCAGAGCTGGTTAACAAATCACACAGACAAATATTTTTACTTGAGATAGGTAGTACCTGTAGCATTAAAAAAAAAGTCGACTTTTCCACCTTACAGTATCAAAACATTTTACTTACTGAAGAGAAAATCAATTCAGAATAGGTACAAAAATGCCCTTGTTTTAATTAACCTTCACATCTTAACAAACAGGGAGAACAGACGTATCATCCACGTCACAGCAGCTCTGGCGACTCAGCTAATTGACAGGAATAATTTTCTCACTTCAAAAGCCAGGTGAAGCAGGAGGCTGGGATATAGACATCCTTTGCGTGGAAACGCCAGTCTGAGAAGCTGGACCCAGAACATCACCTACTATATTCTGCCACCAGGACCCCAGCGAGTAAAGGCCATCACCTAGATACAACTGGGGTCTTAACGGAATCCCCCAATTCTGGCAAGTCATTTAGAACCCCCAGAGCCTCAGTACTTTGCTCTACCATGTTCCCTAGAGGATCTGAAACAGCTGAGTTTTGATTTATCTGTTTTAAAAAGATGGAAAATGAGGGTAATTATGTTCGCACACATTGCAGCAATGTTCATAATAGCCAAGAACCGGAAACATCCAAATGTCTATTAACTGATAAACGGATAAACAAAATGTGGTGTGTGCAAGCAATGGAATATTACTCAGCCCTTAAAAAGTACGGACACATGCTAGATACAGGACCTTTGGAACATGAGGTTAAACTGAATGAAGCCAGACATGAAGGCCACATGTTATCTTCCATTTATGTGACATTTCCAAAGTAGGAGTTTTATAGTGGCAAAGCACAGAAGTGACAGTTTGTGGGACAGGAGGATGGAGAAGGGGTCAGTTAAGTTAGGGCACAGGTTTCTACTGGGTGTGATGAAAATATCCTACAAATGATGAGGGTGATTGTCGCCCAATTCTGAATACAGTGAAAGGCCCTGAATTACATATTTTCATTGGCAAATTGCATGGCATGTGAATTACATCTGAGTCAAGCTGTTAAAAAAAAAAGAGAAGAAGGCTTTGGATCAAAACCCTAGGGTCTTTCTTAGCTTAATCTACACTTTGGTCGAGTTCTCTGCTCACCTGAGGTTTGGAAGTCGATCTCGATTGGGTTGGAGAGGCTGGTCGCCGCTTCTCGCCACAGGCTGCCCCTGACGGGGGACCAGGCGGTCACCATGCAACGGTACAGCCCCGCATCTGAGACCTGAGTCTGGTACATTCGATAGCGAAACTCATCTTCCTGCACTTTCTCTAGCACCACACCATCCACGCGCGATGCGTCTGTCCAGTTCTCCAGCTTGACCACAGAATCCTGGTCCAGGGAGATGATGTACTTGGTCTCGTTGGGGCTGGAGAGGTCCCCAACAGGCTTCTCGGCCGTGATGAGAACAGAGTAGCGCGGTGACTTAATATTCTTGGAAGACACTTTGCACGTCATCTCAAATGTATTTCCTGCCGCAAAGAACGGTTTTGGCTGCCTAGCCTTCACCACAAGCACGGAATCTGGAAAGAAGCACCAGAAAGAGGTGGTTGGCAACAGCAGGAGCTGATACGCAGGTGCCGCGGAAAGTCCCGTGTCAGGACAGAGGACTCCATTTGCAACTGCCACGCACCAGTACTTAAGGAATTCTGGAAACTCAAACAGAAAAACCACACAGATCTCTAAGCCAGCTGAACCCCCGCCCCTGGATAAAGCAGAGCCATCTAAGGAGATGTAATGGGTGCGAGGGAAGAAGAGATCCAGGGTGATGGAGGAAAGGGGTTTCAAGTCCTTGAGAAGTTTCACCCAGACCGAGAATTTGGAAGGCGACAGGTGCATTCAAGGATGTGGGAGGGGGCTTATTTTTAGGGGTGTGGAGAATACAAGGCGTAACACAGCACAGAGTCAGTCCCCAGGCGTGCCACCTGGCCCCCACCTGCCTGAGGCCCAGGGGTGCAGAGACAGGTTCGCAGAGGGGAAGTGAAGTCGAGACTTGGCCTTAAAACAACAAAACTGGGGCCCACTCTGGCGGCGCAGGGGTGAAAGTATGCAGCTACTTCAGCTTGAGTTCGATTCCCCCCAGAGGTGACCCACACGGTGCAGCAGACCTCTCCTGTCTCCCCACTGCTCCCCTCAGCAGTGCACTTCGCCAATCTGCCTGTTCTGCCCCCGACTCTCTCTGATGAAGCCTCTCACTGCGCCTGCACCTCTGGCCTGTACCCCAGTTCTGTATGCATAAATACATAAATTAAAAAAAAACAACAGAAACTAAGACATCTAAGAGCCCGTTCATAGGCCAGGGAAAGGTCAGGAAGGTAGGAAAGGTCAGGGAGGGAGGTGCGGAGACAGAGTGAGGGGAGCCCTGTGCCTGCGAGCCTGGCCCGTGGGGGCTGGTGTCTGCGAGGGCCTGAGGCTGAATGACAAGGGCTGGTCGCTGAGCCGGAGAATGTGGGTGGAAATTCTGTTTCTAGTGTTTCAAGGAAAATGAAAGCAGGGCCAGCAGCTGAGAGGGGGTGCGTGGGGGCGGGAGGTGCTGCGAGATAAGGCCGTTGCAATAATCATTTTGGAGAGCAGGGACGTCAACAGACGAAGGGAACGCAGAGGGAGTCGCGGGCAGAGTCTACTTCGCATAACCACCCGATTTGACACGAGGCCAGCCAGCGCACTCGAGTTATTTCTCTACGACATCAGCTCTGCAGAGCAGACAGGAGGCGGTGGAGCCCAGCTCGGGACTGGGGCGTGGTTCAGCCCGAACAGAGAGCGAAAGCAAAGTGAGGGAGCCAAGGGCGTGTGCCAGGGAGGGGCTGTGGCCGACGGGGACAGGAGCCAGCTGGGCAGGCTGGGTGATTCGCGGGCCCTGATCCCCAACACGTCTGAGGAGGGGAAGGTGCGATTAGCAACGACACAGGGCACGTGTGGGTGACAATGGTCGTGCGTGATGGAGACGTGGAGGAGGACACTGCAGGTCGCAAGGTGACGTCAGCCGGGGTGCGGGGAGCTGGAGGGCTGCTGGGCTCCACAGGGGCGCACTGGAGAGAAGGAGGTGTGTTAAGGAGCAGGAAAGCTTCTTTCAGCTTTCAGGAAAGGGGCCTGAGCATGGCGGGAAAGCCGAGCTCGAGGGAGACGTGATGGCCGGTCAGCCCGGTCCCCAGCCTGGCTGACGTGACAGCGTCAAGAGCCAGCGAGCAGACTGCACCCGTCTCATCAGGCCAGACGCCACGGCAGGGCTCAGGTCAGGACCCGCGAGAGCTCCTGCAAGAGCGGGCAGCGAGCTGCGGCCCGGAGCTGCCCGCGGGCAGGGAAGGTGCCCGGAGGGGCGACTGAGGAGAGGGCTGTGCAACCAGCAAGCGTCCTTGAAGAACGGAGAGGACCCGGGCCTCGCTGGGGTGGCCAGGGAGGAGATGGTTAGACCCGATGACAGGAGACTCCAGGCTGGCTGCTCCCAGAAGGGAGGGAGAAGAGTCCAGAAGCTACAATGTGGGTCAAGGTGGGCATCAGACCTGCTAGGTCTAGCTGCACAGGACGCACATCACCTGCCCTCAGGAGGGCGCTGAGGGAACGGGGTTCTCCTGCTGCAAGAAAGAAATGAACGGCCCAGGGCCAGGACATCTGGCTGCGCTCAGGGGTCCGTCTGGGCCTTGCAGATACAGCAGGGGGCGGCGAGTCAACAGCGGCTAGGACAGGCTGGGGACCAAGCTGTGACTCCCACGTCCTGGCCAGAGAGTGCCCCCTGCACTCGGAGGAGATGGACGGCGTCTGGAAGCACTCTCCCTGAGTGGAGGACTACTTCGGGGGGACAGGCACAGACACCTATGGCGCCCCCTTAATCGGGGGCACCTCACACGCCCTGCCTCCAGGGGAGCTCACCGACAGGGACACCGGCAAGGAGGGGCCCAAGGTCACCTGCAGAGCACGTGGCCATGGCTCACGCCACACAGCTCCCGGGCTCCCTCCGAGCAACAGTGACTCGAGCAAACATTCTTGGATGCCCGGCAGACATGGGCATACGTGGGGTGACCCAGCAGCTGAAAACGCGCAGCCGACGGCAGAAGCCACAACCAAGCCAACCCCGCTCCTGAACCCAAACAGCACCTACCTTCGGACGCCCAAAATATGTTGACGGGCTTGGAGATGACGTCCTTGCTCTTGGCCCAGCTGTTATTGCGCTGTCTGGTCCAGGCCGACACCACGCAGTAGTAATGGCCTCTGTCCTCCTCTGTCGTCCTTTGGATCCGGAAGCTGAACGTGTTCGTCTGCTCCTTGGAGAAGATGAAGTCTCCCTCCTGGGCCCGCTGCTTGCTCCTCTCGCCGTACCTCAGCGTCCAGTCCCCGTTCATGACCGCCAGCAGCTCGCTGGCCTCCACGTCGTCGCTGCGCGGGCTCCTCCTGTAATACCAGGCTACCGTGAAGCGCACGGTCCCCTCCGCAGCCCTGGGGCCCACCAGCCGACACTCCAGCTCCGTGAGGTCGTCGGAGAACTCGGGGAGCTTCGAGGCGTTGAGATACACCTGGTATTCCGGTTCTGAGCAAGAGGAGAGGGCGAGATCAATAAAAAAAGAAATCGGACAGAGCAAGGCACCGAGCCCGAGCTACCAGACTGACACGCAGGTCCCCCCCGACAACCACGTGCCTTCTCTCCCAGCCACGCGGGGGAGGTGACAGTCTTGCATGGCCCGCGAATATCTGGCGGGCGTCTTTTCGTGCAAAACTTGTAGAACACGCCCTCCCTGGGCCCCAAGGAGCCTCCCGAGGCCAGACGCCAGATGCCACCGGACAGCCTCGATCTTCCCATAGGGCTGAGGTTTGCTGTGTCTCCCCCAGACCTCGTAGAAGCTCGTGCCCACGCGCTATCAAGCTTTTCCCTGGAGTGCCAAGAACCACGGGCTTCCAGCGTCCCAGTGGAGCAGCCCTGGGAAGCCCCTCCCAGAGAACATTCCAGCACTCCAGGCCTATCAACACCCCATGGCCTGCACTCCTGCCACTCTTGCCCGGGCCCCAAATACAAGGCCCTCAGGCCACAGCCCCCACACACTCTTCTCCTCGTGTTACTGCCCCTTTAACTTTTTCCACTGAATCCGAGTTCCGTGGTCTTCAGCACCCCCACCCCATCCTCACACGACAGAGATGACTCCCTTTCTCCCCCACATGTGACTCTCTGGGGAGATCTACCAACCATGCCACCAGCCCTAGGAAGCCTGCCCTCTCGCGATCGCCCACTGCCGCACCTGGCCAGGCCCTCCCCGGGAGGGGGCCAGCCAGGCCTCTCCTGGCCTCCCGCTGCCCCGCCACTGTCAGAGTCCTGCTATTTTTCAGGACTCTCCATCCTCTGAGGCCCTTGTGCTGATACCCATTCCAGCAAGCCCACCTGCCTGTCCTCACTGGCCCTGAGGCTTCTGAATCCACCTGCCACTGTGGGGGGCCCTGTGGCCCCCTCTCCCTACCCCTGCTCCCTCCACATCACTCCTGATGGTCAGCCTGGTCCAGTGGCCATCTCTCCCCACTGTGGCGGCCTGTCCACAGTGACCCCCTTCTGGCCGCCCCCCCAACTTTCACCCACTCTCCAGCGCCACCGCTGAGCCCCTTCCCGAGTCCGCAGCGCATGACCCCTCCCTCTCTGTGTGCCCAGAGTCCTGCATGGACTCATGCACGGCAGTCACCCCCTCTTGTGCACACACCCCCTTCTCACTTGGAGATCTCAGCCCCAAGCTCCAAGCACAGCCTCGTATGCAGTAGGCACTCAATGCATGTTGGCGGCCTCGGAGAAAAGGCTTTCGGAAAAAGCTACACTTTTCTTTCGTTAACACTTTGCCTGCTAGGAGAAAAATAATTCCATCTCAGCAGAACTTTCCATTTGCCAGCCCTATCTTTATTCACACCACCTTGGCTCAAACAGCTCAGTCTTACTTAGCGTTGCTTTTATTTATGACTCATGCAGATTATAAACTGCTGAGGTCAAGGAACTGTTCTTTTGTGATTTACACTCCTCATGAAAAGTCCAACATCATGACTTCTCCGAGAATGATTCAGGGGGCTAGGAAATGGAAGGGACTTCAAACCCTCATTCCCTCAAATGCCATTTTCACAAGCATTTAATTGCAATGAGGTTGGACCCTGCAGCAGATGGAGGAAACCAGCGCCGCCCGTCTGGTCCTGCCCGGCCGTGGGAGCTCGCCCAGCCGTGACGTGGAAGCCACAGAGAAAGGCCACAGGCTGCCGGCGTGTCAGCCTTGGAGAGCACCCAGCAGGCACCCTGCCTCCCAGTCCCCTGGCGAGGGCTTCCCGCCTGCTGGGCATGGTGCTAACAGCAGCTCGCAAAGGCCACGGAAACTTATGTCTACCGTGAGCCGCAGGAGACACAGGCCCCAGCTAGGCCGCGTGCGAAGTCTCGGGCCCCTTTCTCCTGCTGGGGTGGGGCAGAGCAGCTCGGAGGCTGCAGGGCCTTCCCAGCACCCGCGGCGTGAACTGGCTCTGTACCCCAGGCCACGCTCACACCGCCCCGTCGGGACCAGGGGGCGAGCGGCCTCTTCGGACCACCCACAGCGGGAGGCCCTGTCACTTGTGAGCCCCGACTCCACTCCAAGCACAAGGTGGGAGCCCCATCACGTGAAGGGTGGACTAAGTGGACAAGCAGCTGAGCGCCAGCCCGAAGGGGGACTGCTGGGGCCGGGACCGCGGCCACGCTGGGTGTGAGCTCACTGTGTGCCTGGGCCACGCCTGGGCCACGCCTGGGCCACGCCTGGGCCTCTCTCGTGTCTCCTTATGAAGTCGGATACAATCACAGTACCTGCCGAGCTACCTGGGGGCTGAGAGTCAAAACAGACACGAAAGTGCCTGTGTATGGGTGTGTGCGTGTGTGTGGTTTTCAAGATTCTTCACGTCAGCAGAGACGCCTGCACACAGATATCTCTAAGCTAACACGGCCAGCGCCGCCTCCGACGTTCCAGCTGCTGCCCCGTCTCTCTCTGCCGCCGTCCACTCTCCCGCTGCCCCTGCTTGGAGGTGCCCCGTCCTTCCGTCCCTAGCCCCAGGACTCCTGCCGCTCACGCTTCCTGCCTCCTTCGTGAGTCTCCCATCTCTCCCCGCCTGCGCCTTGCAGTAGGCACCATAACGTTTGTAAATAGAGGTGAAATTGCCAGCACCCTCTTGGCCTCCTGTCCAGACCGAGGAGACTCCGAGCAGCCTCGAGGCTGACACAGCTGCTCCACAGGCCTCCCACGGCTTCTCTGGCCCAGAGTCCAGAACACACTGCCAGCTGGGCCCGCAGGCCCAGGGTGGGGGCTCGGCCTCTGAGCAGCCTCACCGCCCACCAGGACACCCCGACCTCAGTTCCCTGCTCCCCTTCTCTGCTTCTGGGCTTTCTGCCTCCCTTCTGCCATCCGCCGGCCTCACACCCGGACACCTACTCAACCAGGCGTCCCATGAAAGACTGAACAGACTCCCCGTTCTCCTCCCTCCTCTACCCACATGGATCTGATTAAAAACCCTTGTATCAAGTGCAGAAAAAACATGCGGCCATTTCAGCACGTGCATTAGTTCCAGGAAGTCCAGCTTAGCAGGCGAGTGCCATGTCTTCCCCGGCTGGCCTCCTGCTGGCTATTAAAACTCAATCTTAGGTCCCCAATGAGGGCCTCGGTGTAAACACAAACAAAACAAGTGGATTTTGAACTTGCAAGTGATTTACAAGGCTGTTCAAAGGCCACGCAAAATAGCCACCAGCCCGACAGGCAGTGGGTCGGTGGAGTCTTAGCTCGCTTTAGTTTAGGTGCAGGGGTGGAAATCGTCCCTCCAAGCTATTTTACGATTGTAGAGACGTTCACAGAGGCTGGGCCCGTCCGTCCCTCGAGGGCCATCACATGCCGTCCTTTCGCAAGAGCCTCCTGCTTTCCAGACAAGGCCTCCTTTGAACTCACCTGGGACCTGACACCTCTGCTTCTTATTCTGCAAGCGTTCACAGAGACGCTACCACCTGTCAGGCTCTGCAAGGATTTTATTTGAATGCCGCCTTGAACTTTGGTTATTTGAACGGGTGAACTCTGGACCTTCTGGAGGGCCCTTCCCAGGGTCAGGGTCTACCTGACCCTGCATTTGCATGGCTGAGCCTGCAACGCCTTGTACACACACTCCATTACCATACTTGCTGAATTGGACTAAATTTAATATTTTGCATAAAAATGCTCATTTTTGGAATACGCATTCCACTCCTGATTACCGCTGTTCTGCTTGCTCTCATCAAGAAATCAGCCAAGAACGCTATGGCGGTTGTTTAAAAGATGCTTATCAGTTGGATGCATACGAAAGTATTTAATAGCAAAATGACATGATGTCTAGGATGTGCTGTAAATTCTTCCAGGAGAGGGAGGGAGAGAGGGAGAGCAAGAGGGAGCGGGAATGTGTGTGTGTGTGTGTGTGTGTGTGTGTGTGTCTGGGGAGGAAGAAAGCTGCCATAGAATTGGGAAAACACTGATGATTGTTGAAGCTGGTGGTTCTTTCTACTTTTGTGTCAATTTCTATTTCAAAAATTAAAGGCAGACAAACAGCCCACCCACACCACAAGCACCTTCACAGAATGCCGAAGCCAGTCAGCCTGAGCATGAGGTTGTCCAGGTTCTCAGAGGCCAGGGTCTCCCCCATTTGGCCCCCAGGGCTCGTCTGCCAGTACCCCTCTCCTTCCTGAAGCCACAGCCTGCAATCGCGACCTTCGACCCAAGAAAGACTTTGTTACTTGAGTACGGGCTGGTAAACGCCTTTCCTACAACTTTCAAAATAATGAAATGCTTTCCGCATCAATGGTAACTTGTAAAAACAGGTATTTTGTGCCTACTGAGTACAGGGGCCTGAACTGGAAGTTTGCGTAGCTTCGTTCCTTTTAACTCTCACAGCTCTCCTATAAGCAAGGTATCATTACCCCCATTTCATAGTGATAACAACCGGCATTTATCAAGGGCTTTCTAGAAGCCAGATACTGTGCAATATACACTTCCCTGGCATGGTTGCTTAGTCTTTGTTACCTTATGCGATAAGGTGCTATTTTCATACACGATTCCTAAATGAAAACAAAGCCCAGAGGAGCTCAGTTCCAAGACGAAGGTCTTGCACGGAGCATGTGAGCAGAATGCTAGGCGAGGCTTTGGCTCTGTGACCTGGCTTCATAAGCACCAAAGAGCACCAACTCATTCCACACCCAGCTAGTAAGGTTTCTCAGAGGCTCCCGTGTCCCAGTGCGAGGATAAGAGTTGAGGCGCTAATCCTGAACTGTGCACCACGAGGCCACGGTCTAACCCCACTCTGAGCTTAGTTAACTCGTACAGAGCTAGTTAGGTGAACGGGCTGAGCACATAAGTCAAGAACGGGCTGATGGAGGTTGAACTTTGTTGAATCAGGCAAGTGATTCTGGAGGCGGCTGAGCGGGTGGACTGATTGTTGGAGTTTCACAATCCAGCTCTCTATAACAAAACTCTCTAATACTTAAATAAAGAAGGAGCTGCTGTCTGGGGGCACGCTTTCCCCCACCTTAGAGAACTGTTGTTCTGAGGCTTGCACAGTGGTAGCCATTGTGAGCAGTGAAGATAACATCACTTGATGGAGCACTCATGTGCTTCAGTCTCACTCCGTCCTCCCAGGAGAGGAGAGTAAGTCCCCAGATCGGGAGGCTGGGACAGAAGGTACAATCCAGCCCTTTCTCCTGGGGAGCAGCTGTTATCAGGACACACACACTGCTGTGTCTCACGCAGGTAAGACCTGGGTGGGGACATTGAGTTGCAGACCTGAAACTTTTGTTACACACCAAGGTGACTGCAATACAATTTTTAAATGGAACTTAATGGGGAAGAGGATGTTCTATATGGACACCCCGCACACACCCATAAATCACCATCACCACCACCGTGACAGTGTGTTGGTCACTGAAGGTGTCCAAGACGGGGTTGAACACCTTACATACATTAAACCAGGAAAGTCAAAGCCCAGAAATCTTAAGCAACACACCCGAGATAACGTACCTAGGAGGTGGAGGGCCGTGGGAAGCCAGACTCAGCGCTCACACACGTGCTCTCCTGCCTTCAGATAATCCCGGACAGACAGTGATAGCTGCTGCCCATAAAATTCTGCAGATCTAAATTTGAGCTCCTATAGATGGCACAGAACTCTGAAGTCTCCACCAAGTACTTAGCAGATTAACAGCTCCTTTTAAAGAAAAAATAATTACCTTCGTAGCTGGCACGCTGCTAGAAGAGGGGACAGTGAGCCGGCCTCTGGTGGGGGAGAATGCAAATCAGGTTCCTAAGCCTGGAGGCAGAACTCAGCTGGGCCTCCTCCTCTCCTGCACCCAAAGCCCGTGGAACCCTCTCTAATTAACACCACACAAGCCTGGGACTGTGAGCAGAGAACTCAACCATGAACTGATTAGTATCCAGCCCTTGCCAAAGGCTCATTTAAGACATCTGATAGCAGAGCGAGATGGCTTAATATGCAGATTAGCCAGCCAGGCCTCCAGACTCTCCATCACTTCAGCCATCTACGAAACTGGATCAACACAAAGCAACATTTATCCCCCACAGTCCTACAGCTTCGTGTAGAAACTCCTTCACACACTATAGATTTATGTTCTCAGCTTTTACAGAGAGTAGACATAGGAAAGATCCATTTAAACAATCATGTAGAGCCTTTTGGAAAAGAACAGTCGAAAGCACTGTCCACTACACAGGTCCCTGAAACAAAAAGCACATGATATGTTCAGAGCCAAAACAAAGTTGGTGTTTTTGAAAGTTTCTTTTCCTTCACAAGAGGAGAAGGGTATAGTCACATCCTTTTTTTGGCCTCAACTCTTCAAAATTCCAAGGGCAGATTCAGTGTTCAAAGGCAGCAACTAATTCACCCAACACCTTGCAAAATCTATTCTTTGATTTTTCATTTTTACCCTTTTTGATCTTAATGTTATTTTAGTCTGCTGCTTTAAAATGTGCTTCATTTTTGAAGCCAACTTAAATCTTTTTTCCCCTGCAAAAAATAGGACATAAATTCTAAGCAAAAGAGACTTTTTCTTACACTCCAAAAAATCATCATGGCCCTCCCAGATGGTACACGTGTTCTTAGGCATGCCAAGAAAAAGTCCACACAGAATTTACATGATTGCCTGGTCCCTGGCTAACACACTGGAACATGGGAAGACCCCAAGTCACCATCAACCTCTCCCCTTCTCGGTGCACCAACCCCAAACAATTAAAGACCAGGATTGCCCAGGCTTTGCACTGTGAGCCCCAGAGCTTCAGGAGAGAAGCTGATTCCCAAAGTCAAAAAGGTTTGTATATAAGCTGACGGGACTTAAGTCAGACCTGACCCTGGGCCAGCAGTCTCTCTCAGTCATCCTAAACATTTTTTTTAAAAGATTTATTTTATTTATTTATGCACACAAGAGCTGGGGAGCAGAACAGGTGGATCTACTGAGATACACTACTGAGGGGGGCAGCGAGGAGACAGGAGAGGTCTGCTGCGCCCTGTGGGTCCCTCCCTGGCCGGGAGGCGAACTCAGGCCCCAGTGGCTGCGGATAGCTTCACAGCACTGAGACTTAGCTCCTTGTGCACCTACACAGGCCCCCTAAACATTTATTTTTAAACAAAGGAAACAAGTATTAACCACTGTGATAGTCTCTTTTCCAGAAATGAGGACGGCATTTCCTGCCCATGGGCCTGTTGGCATGTGACTACCTTCTTTCCCACGAAGACAGGTCTCCTCGACCCCCTCCTACTCAGGCAGACGGGTGATGGCATCCACGGGTGATGGCATCCACGAATGCCCAGGGGTCTCTGTCCACTGGCTGGGCACCTCCACTTGCTGCTGCTGGGAAGCTGGCCACCCAGGCGGTGGTGTGGCCGCCTTCAGCACAACGTGCTGTGGGGCCCAAGCCCCACAGAGAGGGCCTGGACAGTGTGTGACTATGTGGGGACAGGGAGGTCCGGGTGCAGGGGACACACGCATGAGAGCACTTACCGGGAGGGGGAGTACCACCCTAACACTGCCTGCAGTCCTGTGCCCATCGGAGGCGAATCCCAGAAGTTCCTCCCTAATTCCTCACCCTCAAAACCAGAAGAAAAAGCGAAACAACAGTGGCTCTCAGATAGGCGAGAATGTAGAACCCAACTGCAGGGCTGCTGAGGGGTTGCATACCGGACGCATATGCTCAGCACACAGTAAGTATTTGATAACCGGTAATTAGTACTTTGAATGTGTCAAGTGGCAAAGCTGAGCGTTCTGTGTGGCACCTGCGGAGGAAACCAGCTTTCTCAAGAACTCTTGTGACAACATTCCACGCCACGCGCCATGAGCCAGCCCGTGTAAGGAGCATGCTGGGAAGTCACCTGTCTTCCTCTCTTTCTGGGCACCTCCCAGTTACCTGCAAGAGCCCCAGTGGCACGTGACACAGTATCCACACGTGACTGGCCCATGGCGAAACACGCCCACATCATCCTACTCGCCACACGGGCCCCGCATTACTGAGGAGCTGGAGAAAGTTCTCGCTGTACTGATGCCGACTGGCCTCAGGCCAGGCGTCCGAGCAGCTGGAAAGGCATGAGTCATAGGCACGGGAAGGACAGGGAGATTTACGAGGAAGCGAGCAAAGAACACAGCTGGTTAATGTACCACTCCCAGGGCTGTGTGCAAATATCCTTGCGGTGTCTACAAGTTGAAGATTAATTATTATTATTACTTTTGCGATGCTTGCATATGTATTGCGATGCTCTGCAATCAGCGGCGCACAGCGTTTATTGAGCACCACTGCATACGAAGTGCTGTTGTTACTAGCTGGGACTTGCCGACCAGGGCCAGCCCCCTGCTGGGTAACAAAGGTCAGGGCCCTGGGGCTCATCTCTGAACCTCGGCCTGCAAGCCATCAAGTCGTCATCGCTTCTTTCTCCCGATTCTCTGGAGGACACAGCCACCGACCAATCCCTTCCAGCTAAAGGCACTCCCTCCCTCCCAGAGCTCCCTGCCTGCCTCCTGCCAGCCCCTGCATCTCCCTCCGGGCACGCAGGGATCGATGTGGGAGCACTTCAAAGGGGCACTCAAACTGGAATGCAGACAGCACTTTCTTAAAAAAAATTCACTTGCTCTGATTCCACGCTGGAGGGGGCGGGGAGGGCTTGACAGTGCCACACAGGGCTCCGAGGATCAGACTGGAGAGACAAATGCAGCTCCAGAGATGAAAAATCTTTTCTGGGGCTGACAACATCTGTTTTATTTTGAAGGTTGCTAAGGAGCACCCGAGCCGGGCCCACATTGTTCCAGTCCAGCACTTCACAGCGAGGCCCACGCGGGCTCAGGAACAGGAATAAACGCTGGCCAGACCGACCCCGCTCCCATGACTTTCCAGTTGTCCAGGAGCCACTCAGCTCGCAGGGATGACGGACACGCTGCCTCGTCTCACTCTGAGTGGGAGGCACCCCGCCTCTGCTGCTCGCCTACGCCCTTCTCCCTGCCCCCACCTCAGTGCCAACTGCCCACCTTTGCCAAGCAGAGGCTTCCTGAGAGCAGAGGGGATGTGTCGCCACCCCCAAGATAAGACTGCCGTGCACAGACAGAGGAGAGCTAAGACTGAGTCGGGGGCGTCACGCGAAGGAATGACGGCCCAGCGTCTCTAGCACAGACACCTCCTCGTAACCCATCGCCCATGTCTCCGGCTCAGGACAGCCCAGGACAGTAGAAGCTCACAACAGGAGGGACTCCAGCAGGCCCGGCCACCTTTACAGTAACAGGGGGGGACACCCTCCCCCCCATCCTGCCCGAGTGTCTTTGTGTCTAATTATAAGACAGTAGCGAAGATTAGAAGCCAGCCCGGGGGGCAAGCGTGCGCACAGAAGCAGAGAAGAGAATGGAAACACAGGCCCCGGCAGCGGTCTCCCCGGGCAGCCCAGGTTATAAAAGGAGTCAGTGAGAGGAGCGAGGCTACTGGCCCCCGAGAGCCTGGCCAGCAAGAGGCCCCTGCTGCACGGGACAGGCACCAGAAATGAAATGGTTTTCGGATTCTAGTGCATTCGGTGGAAAAAAGTGGGTCCTGTTAACTGAGGGTCCCCGTCCCGTGCTGGGCTTCAGCGAAGCTGCGGCTGGGCCAGAGCACCCAGGAGTCCAGGGCCGGAAAGGGCAGTGCCAGCTTCTCCCTCCAACCAAGATCCATTTCAGTCACTCAGCAGCGCCCTGACCTGGCCAGTCCCCATGACGAAAGGAAACTAGATCCCCTCAAACGAGGGTGCTGAGACACTGCAGCCGCTCACCTGAACATCCCCCTGGCCTGCCAGATTCTACTGCAGCCAGTCTTGCTTCCCTGCCCCCCCCACCCCCAAAGTGGGGTCCATGCAGGCTGAAGTAGACTTATCCTCCTAGGAAGAAAACCAAAATAATGCAAAACACACAGCAGTGCCCACTCGTCACAGGGTCCCAGGAGGGAGGGAGCCAGGGAGGCCGAGCGCCATCGCCACCCCACCCCCGAGCCACTCACCGAGCCAGGCCACGTCCACACCGGCGGGGGCAGACACGGCCTCTGCCACCTTGTGCCAGCTCCTGTTGTGGCCCGGGGCCCAGAGCGCCACGTGGCAGAAGTAGTAGCCAGCGTTTTCCTTGCTCACGTCTCGCACCAGTAAGTGGTAGGAGCGTGCGTCCGTGTGGCTCAAAGCCACGTGAGGAGAGCTGTGTACCAGGGAGTCCCGGTCCAGCCGCGCCAGCAGGCGGGCCCCCCCCGGCGGGGTGCCGTCGGGCGTCCTCCTGAAGGACCAGGCCACCTCGGGCCGGACCTCGTCTGCGCGGTCCGTCGTGATGTTGCAGGTCAGGTCCAGCTCCTTGCCTTCAGCGACAGACACGTTCCTAGGCACCGCTGCCTGCAGGACTTGAAAGTTAAAAGCAAATACAGGTCCGTGATCTGGATTGCCTCTGCCCTTCGCGCCTCCTCCCCCTCTCGGCCCGCTCCTTTCGGGCGCCATTTACCGAAAGTGCTTGGAATTTTTTTTTTATTGGCTAAATTAATACAACACACCGCATTTCTTTTCACGAAAACACAGCAGCGAACATTGATATATACGTAAAAGGGGCCATTCTGTGCGTTTTATTAACTACTAACCGTCAAAACAAACCAATTATTGGGCCTTCCGGGTGGCCTAGGGGTTAATTCTCAGTGGTCATTTCACCCCTGCAGACTGAGTTCGACCCCCCGCCAGGGAGTGACCCACAGGGCACAGCAGCAGAACGCTCCTGACCGCCCGCTGCTCCCCTCAGCAGTGCACTTCGTCAGTCGCCTGTTCTGCTCCCCACTCTGTCTCTGGTGAATCCTCTTACCCCCACACCTCTGGCCTGTACCCAAGCTCTTCTATGCAAAACATAAATTTAAAAAAAAAAGGAATATTCATTATCACTGGGTACTAAGAGCTGTTTTACTGACAAGACACTGAGCACAGAGGAGTTAAGTAACTTCCCCAGAACACACAGCTAATGTGTGGCAGAGCTGGGATGCGCACCCAGGCAGTCTGCTTGTAAGTGTTACACCATCACCTGGGAAGAAGTCAGCAGAACAGAAGGAAATTACACTTTTCCCCAAGTACATGCTCTTGGGTGACCTTGCTGGGAGAGTTAACTCAGTTCTGACTGGTGCGAACCGTCTGTTAGGGGCCAACTGCAGGAGATGGGATGACGTCACCTTATGGGAAAAGAGGGGCATCCCAAGCAGGGGGTCCCCCAGATGGCGTTCCTTCCCGGGGCTGCAAGGCACACGTCCTCACGCAGCACGGACCCCACCAGACAGACCCGCCCTGAAGTCAAGCAGAAGGCATCCGCGCTGCGCCGAGACACAACTGTCCTCTCGGCAGCGAGAGTGCAAGAAGCAGCGGAGCTCAGGAGAAGCCCTCGAGTATCTGGTGTCACCGTCCCGGGACTCCACATTCTCCTGTCAAAACTTTTTACATGGAAACGTTTGACTTTATTCAGAGGCTCTTCAAAAAAGAAATGGAACATCTGTAATCAAAGTAGAAAGGCATCCAGCTCATGGCTGCGGGAACCAGAGCTCGGATGATACAGGCCAAGGCCTCCCGGGGTCCACGTGGAGCCGGGGTGCATCGTGCAGAACAGACCTGAGCCCAGAGCCCAGGCCTCCGAGGCAAATTATTTTCACGTGACTATTTCTAAGGCCTGACCACATTCTAAACAAGTGATTAGGACAAGGCCAGGATCCACCTTGAAGAGGACAGAAGCTGAGGTTGGCCTGGGGTTAGGAAAAGGAGCTTAGAAGTCTTCACTGCTCACCTGCACCTCCCTCCCCGGATTCCCTCTCCTCCTTCAGCCTTTGAAAGGGGAGAAAGTTAATTTGACGGCATCTTTGGAGAGGACACAGAGCGCTGGGCCCGACCCGTGGCTTCCACGCGGGATGCTCATGGCCAGGAGACGGGGACACCACTGCAGCCCCTCGGTGCCGGCCACCGGTCACTGCCCACTGGCCACGGGAAGTAAAGAAGGCTCAGGATGGAGGCAGGTGCATGCGAGGTGGGCTGAGGAAAACCAAGTCTCAGATCTAGAAACACTGCTGGACATGTCCCTTTCACTGCCTCGGTGGCCTGGCAATGGGCGTCACTTCTGGGAGGCAGGATGGAGCAGGCTGCAGGGGTGAGAAGCACCAGATCTAAGCAAGAAGGGGCCTCAGACATCCCAGAGGGGGTGCGGGCCTGCGCTGGTGGGCACCAGAGTCCGGACATGATGGGTGTAAATTAGACACCAACCAGACTACTCCTCACACAGGGGACATGGTCACAGAGGGACAAGACCCTGCTCGAAGTTCACAGTGCCATCTGGGCAGCACTAACATGGCAGTGGGGAGCTCGTGTTTATCTTCACTAACCTCCATCTAAAATATAAAAGCTCCCTCTCACCCAAACAGCACAGCGGTGAGCTTTATCTGCCCCTGGTTCGAAGACCCCCATGGAAATCACAGCTCATGTCACATGCTAGCTATTTCACATTGCCGCAGATATCTTGAAATATCATTTTCATTCACCACCACTTAGAAATTACAGTAGTTAGGCCTGCCATGATCTTATTATTGAATGCATTCATAAGGCAAAGTACTAGGTGATAAATTTGTTTTCAAAAATAGTCTGACAACCACTGCAAAGTGTTGCCTTCCTTTGTCATCCTGCATTTGTCTGTTAGGAATTAAAACATGGAAATTCTGACAAAGAGTCTGGCGTGGTCAATAAAATCCATGGCACAAAAAGATGAGCCCCTGGGCCCAGGTGGAAGTCAGACACCAATGGGTTCAGGTGGCAGAACAGTACATGCTGGGGTTTCCACGTAGCAGAATAAGAAGCCCCTGTGGAGAGGCAGGGTGTCCCTGCACCAGAGGGTAACTTGCTGCAAATCTCCAAGTTTTAACCCTTCTGCCTGACGATAACCGTCGTTTGAGGCGAGCGCCCCATTGGGGGTTTCTCGGGACAGAGAACAGGTAGATCCTTCTGGACAGGAAGGTGACCTGAGTCCACTCGGAAAGCAGGTTCAGCAGCCAGGGCAAAGGGCCACTGTGCAGGCAGCCCCTCCCCTCAGCCCCTCAGCAGGAACCCCACCTCCGGAGGGGATCTGTGCCGAGGCCCCAAGCTCTGCCCCCCACCTCACCGAAGCCAGCTCCGTGGGGTGGGGTAACCAGAGTCGGGTGCCGGGACAGTGCAGGAAAAGTACTTCCCACGGGCACATTTCCTGCTTCCCTTCAAGCCGAGCAGAGAGCTTCAAGCAGATCTACCCTGAGGCCCGGGGTTCCCAGATAATCAAGCCACAGGGCAAAGTGTGATGCGAACACGTCTGATTCCCAGAGAACCAAGCACATCCGCCCTGCCGAGAGCGACATCACCCCGAGATCGTCCCTTCATGCCTGGTATCTGGCAAGGCCAGAGCACACGGGGCGGGGAGCCACGTTCAGGCCCCTCTGAGCCCAAAGCCCAGCACAGAATGGGGGTGAGAGCAGCAGGGTCTCTAGGGTCTTGCTGGAAGTCAGTGATGGCTGGTTGTTCTGGCATATTTTTCTTTTCTTTTTATGGATTTTCTAAAATGCATTTTGTGTTTTCTTAATTGCTTCTGTAGTCAGAGGAGGCAAGGCTCCTCATTGGTTAAAAAGGCTGGCTCAGAAGTGACAGGACAAAGGCCTGCCTGCACAGAGGCCCAGGGCTGGGCGCTGCCAGGGGGCAGTGGGCGACACGCAGGAATGCAGAAGAGGCCCACCAGAGGCCCCATCTGGCAGGTGCATCTGAGGGGACCTTAGGCACACCCAGAGTATCCAAGCAAAAGGAGAGCTTTTGGGGGGTGGGGTGAGGTGGGGGGGGAGGGAAGAGGCAGACACACCCTAACTGTTGTGGGGAAGGGCAGATGGAGAGATTCCAGGAACACCAGACAAGATAAAGGAAAGGGAACGGGCATGGGGTGGGGGGGCAGGGCAGCGGCATCCCCAAAGCCCCCCAGTCTCCAGGCTGGACTTCATTCTGGCAGGGGACTTCATCTTTTGCAAAAAAAAAATCTACCTTGCACAGATAGGTGACCGCAGCTGCCATGGGCGTGAACTCAGGTGCAAGGCAGCTGCAGGGTGAAATGCCAGGCCACAGCACAAAGCAAATGTGCCCTCAGCCAAACCACCAACCCGCCTCCAGCCCCGCGCCCAGCCCCACCGCCGGTGGTGGTTCCCATCAGGAAAGAACGCGGCCGGCCCGCTGCGGACGCCACCGGCCCAAGAAGGACGGGCCGGCCCGTGCGGCTCACCTGTCGGCTGGATCACCACGGTGGCCACCTCCACGGCCTTCTCCTGGATCTCCTGCCAGCTGCCCTGCTCTGCGATCCACTCGCTGACGACGCACCGGTAGGAGCCCTGGTCGGCGGACAGCGCGCGGGACACGGCGAGGCGGTAGCCGTCGCTGCCCACCGTGTCCAGACGCAGGTCGCCCGCATGGTAGCGCTGCTCGTAGCCGGGGCCGGGCCGGAACCTGCCCTCGTGCGTCAGGGCCAGCACGCTCCGCCGGTCCGGGCCGCGCCGCTGCTCCCACAGCAGCGCCAGGTGCGTGTGTAGCGGGCACGCGCTGGACGCTGAGCAGCGCAGCTCGAAGGGCTCACCCTCCCGCAGGCTCAGGCCGAGCGGCGGCTGCGGCGGGGCCGCCAGGCGCAGGGCGTCGGCCAGCACTGGGGGGAAACACGAGTCAGCAGACTGCACCCTCCCGGGCTGCAAGCTCCCAGAGCAAGCCGCTGGGCGCCCACAGGCTGTCCAGTCCGGGCAGTTTCCTCCCCCACCCGCTTCTAATCCCAGGCGGGCATGTGTCCCCACGTAAGAGGCCTCATGAGACCCTCTGCGGGACTGGGTGGTTGAACACCCCTTGGGGTGCCGTGCGGGGTGCCCTTAAGCAAGTGACTTCTCCCCTTTGGCCTCCGAGATGGCAGCCACCTGCCTCAGGGAGGGGCCCGCATGCTCCAGGTGCTCTGAAGGGGACGGGTGGCCAGTGCAGGAGGCGCAGTCCCGGCCGTGCCAGCTGCCGGTCACCTGCGCCTTCATTAGACACCGGGCGAGAAGGACCCGGCGGAGTTAAAGCAGCTGGGCCCACGTGCAAAAGCATGACATGAGCTTTCTGAGCCCTGAGGCCCTTGAGAGGCCCAGAGAGGCCCAGGAGAGCAGAGGGCCTCCGTGAGGGCCTGGTGGACAGCCAGGCTCCCACCGTCCGGGAAGAGGGGGCCGAGGAAGTGGGGGTGAGCGCTGTTCAGGAAGGGAAGCAGTAAGGGGAGGGGCGGCCTCCCCAAGGGGCAGGCACCATGACGCACCATCGTCATCTCTGGGTTTTCCCACGAGCCCAGTCCCGGAAGCTAACTCGGTCCTTGAGAAAAGGCTACTCCAGACGACAGAAGCAGCTATGCACCTTCACCAGGACACACCCAGGCCCAGCGCCACGGCAGCGTGGCCACGGCAGCGTGGCCACGGCAGCATGGCCACGGCAGAATGCACGTGGCCTCCAGCACATACGTCAGCCTATGGGCCCACGGCGTGGCTCGGGGCAGGAATGAGCAGTTTCAGGACCCAAGAAGCTGAGGCCCAGAGACTCCCCTGGGCAACCAGCCATCGTCTTCACGGCCATCCTGTTGCTCCCGGCCCTACGAGGGCCCCGCCCTGCGCTGCCTTCCCAAGGCTGGGGAGAAACGGAGAGCAGGGGCCTGGGGGAAGGGCGCCACTCCCCTCCCCCAGGGAAGACCGGGCACTGCCTCTGGCAGGTGGAATGTGCTTGAGGACTGTCCAGTCAGCGCCTCATTTAACCGCATGCAAGAGGACAAAGATCTTCCAGGACCTCCTCTGGCGAAACGTACTTGGGTGGTGCAGTAAAAGAAAGAGGCCGGGCCCTCCCTGGTGGC